CATTTGAATGTTAAAAACGCGAAAGATGTAAATAGCGCGCGCTTGACTAGATCAAAAAATAAATAGATAAATAAAAAATAAATAAATAAATGTAATAATAATAAAAATAAATTAAAAGACCAAGGAACAACATCATTAAAAGGAAAGAGACAATTCTAGATGTTTCAATTGCTGATTAAGGATAGGTTTTTCCCACTTAATATGCAATGCCTCTTTGATCTTAATTTGGTATTTTGAAGCGGCAGAATCTAAGATCGTGAAACATTCAGTATCACAAGAGTCAAGACAGGCCCTTGATGATTGCAGGTGCTTGTAAATATGCGAAGTTTTGTCCGACAAGAGGTGCTCACGAACTCGTGTACAAATGTGGCGAGTGGTCTCACCAATATAACTGACATTACAGCCAGCACATGAAAATTTATATATGACACGCGAACGTAGACCTAGCGGTACTGAATCTTTCACACTGAACATGTTTCTGAGTTTAAACGTACTGAAGACTAACTTAATATCTAAATCAGCTCTACAATAACGTTTGAGTAGTTGTCTTAACTTAGTCTGAGCGATGTTCGAAAACCGACCAACATAGGGAAGTTTATAATAGTGCGCAGAAGGTTTACCGGAGTTAGAAGAGGCGTTCTGCCCAGTAGGAGGATTCTTTTTCTTCGCTAGATACCTGTAAATGATCTTGTCTATGACCAAAGATGGAAAAAATTTTTTCCGTAGCAAGAAAATAAGTTTCTTGACATCTAGATGAAAACCAACCCAGGAATTATTGATCTTATATGTTCTGTCAATCAACGTTCTGACTAAACCTAATTTGTAAATCAAAGGGGCGAAGCTGAAATAATTAGTAAGAAGGCCAGTAAACGCAATCATTAAGGGCCTGTCTTGACTCTTGTGATACTGAATGTTTCACGATCTTAGATTCTGCCCCTTCAAAATACCAAATTAAGATCAAAGAGGCATTGCATATTAAGTGGGAAAAACCTATCCTTAATCAGCAATTGAAACATCTAGAACTGTCTCTTTCCTTTTAATGATGTTGTTCCTTGGTCTTTTAATTTATTTTTATTATTATTACATTTACTTATTTATTTTTTATTTATCCATTTATTTTGATCTAGTCAAGCGCGCGCTATTTACATCTTTCGCGTTTTTAACATTCAAATGTAACGTAAGCACTGACACGTAGTTTGTAACGTACCCTAATTTAAATTCAAATGTACAACAGTTAAATGCTCATTTGCAACTGAAGATGACATGAGAATGTCGAAACATGTCTTGCAAATTTAAACTCAAAGTTGTTGTTTCTTTTTTAATTAAGATATCAAATTTTTCATTGTTAAATTCATATAGATCAAAATAGGTTACGCTTTGCACCCAATGTGGAGATTTTTTAGAGCATTTTAAAATACGTGGTAAGTTGCAGATACTAACGAAGGAGTAGTAACGTAAATGATAATGGTAGTGGTAATGACATATATTCAAACTCAGTCCGCCGTTGTTTCAGTTTTTTCGTTTTATTGAAGGAGTAACTGATGTAGAAAAAAAATTCTCAACCATGGGAAAATATCATTTATCTTTATTTTTGAGATCTGTTTTAAAAAATAAGAACAACTAAATGATACAATAATATTTGACGTGGAAAATATCTGCGTCAATGATGGGATCATCTGGGTTTATAAATTGAACACTGGTGCGAACAAATGAAAATGTCGGTTGCTGAATAATTTTCACTGCAGCATTTTATCGATTGTCCAGTCATTCCAGTTATTTTTCCATGAAGTTATCAGCGCTTCCTTCAAAACTAAACTGTAAATTTACTTTTCTATTTTTGTTGGACGTGTGTCTTTAACAAATTACGTGACGGAAATTCTTGTCTTTACTTTGAATTTATTATTAAAAACTGCAATTAAACAACAGCTGTAAAAACCTTAGCTTTTCTGTAGATTAATTTTCTGCTGCTTACGTGGATAAATTCGATCGGGCAAAGTGTAAAAGTGAAAAAGGGACAATCGATTTTCAGGTACTTAATGTAGTAGCTTTGCTGCTTTCCCATCTTCTTGTAGTTAATTATTTTATCCCTCTTGCGGTAAAAATCTTTTATTTCTTCTGTGTATCGCAAAATAACTTCCTTGCTGCTGCAGATGTCGATCCTGTTGATGATGTTGTGTTTGTTTGTATCTTAACCGAATATTTATTCTACACTATTTATTTCTGAAAGGTATACTTTGTTGTACAATTCGTTTTATTTTCTCAACAATGCACTTGCTGCGACGTGGTTTCAAAAGAAAGGATAATGAAATGATTGCAACATGGTACTTCTGTAAAACTGATCAGAATTTAATTTTTCTCCATGAACATTACCATAATAATGCGTAAATTACTGACGAGAAATTAAACAAGAACGACAATCAATTCGTTAAAATGTTCAAATGCTTAGATACACATGGAGATGTAATGGTAAGATCGTAGGACTCAGGAAAAACTCTACATGAGACTGTCTTCTTTGTATTGATGTTTTACATTTAAACATTAAGTAAAAAGGCGGAGAACAATTAATAAGACGCGAAATGTAAATGTTTGAGAGCGGGAATTTTTTTCCTTTCTGTGAGCTAAGAGTTGGGATATTATCAACTTTTTCAGTGTTAAATTTCGATAGAACAACCTGGGTTACGCTTTGCACCCAATGAGGAATTTTAAAATTATTTAAAAACACGTGGTTTGCTACGAATAAGAACATAGGAGCAGTAAATGATAATGATAATGGTTATGATAATTATTCAAATTCACTCCACCGTTGTTTCCCTCTTTTGTTTTGTTGAGGGGGTATTCACCTATGTACAAAATTATTTTCAACCAAACGAAAATATCATTTATTTTTTAGATATGTTCAAAAATATAAAAAGAACTAAGTTTGTGTGTCATTGATGGAATCATCTATATTTATAAATTGAGTTCTGATGTTAACTAATGAAAACGTCGGCTGCTGAATAATAGACATCTTTCGATATGGTCATTAGGTATCAAATTTGTGTTTAAAAGTCTTCATTTTTCTGCAGCATTTCATCAATTGTCCAGTTATTCCAGTTATTTTTTCATGTGATAATTAGCGCTTCCTTCCAATCCAAAGTAAATTTTCTTTTCTATTTTAGTTGGACGTGTGAGTTTAACGAATTACGTGATGGAAATTCTTGTCTTAACCTTCAATTTATTAAAAAACAAAAAACAAAAAAACAAAAGAACAATTAACAACAACTGTAGAATCCTTTGCTTTTCTCTCGATTCATTCTCCGCTATCTATTTGGATAAATGCGTTAAGACTCTTGCATGGAAATGCATGGAAATTGAGCGGTAAGATCTTCGGACTCTTAAGTGGAAAAATCTGCATAAGAGCGTCCTCCCTGAATTAGTGTTTTTCATTTAAAACGCATACCGTAACTACAGAAAAAAAAAAAAAGAAGAAAATTTGGCGGCTAACATATTGAGCCAATAATTTTAAAGTAAAATTAATTGACAAATGTCAGATCAGAGATAAGAAGCAGTCAGTTTGTGAACGATGAAAAATATAATTGTAGGGTGAGGGAATTTTCGTATGAGAGCGAGAAAAAAAAACCTATACAACTCAGTTTGAGTGTTCCAAAATTTCTAAATGCAACACTACATTTCCTGTTCAGAAGCTGCAAAACACCAGGCGGAAAGTGAGAAGCAGTTTATTTGTGATGACATCATCTCCATTTTAAATATACTCGAGAACTTGAAAAAGCCGGATTGTTCTCAAATCTGATTTTAATTTTAATTCTGAATGCAAAACGAGACAAAATTAAACACGCTAACTTTACTTCTACAGAAAGCAGACTTAAAACACGTGATGATGATAATTTCAGTGGCTAAGTGGAGTTTCATCCTCTTTTTCTGTAAGAACCACAGCTAAACACGACTGTTGTCTACAGTATAAGCTAAAATGATAGGCATTATGATTTGTTGTCTAATGGGAAGGAACGGAGCCTCATGGGAAGCCGTCGTGGGAGGGGAGGAAGGGTAACTTGTTTGGAGAGGTCAGGGAAAGGGCGAGCAAAAGGAGGAAAAGAGGAAAGGAAGAGAGGAGAGTGGGGCGGAGTGGGGACTCAAGGGTATGCTATTTAATTGTTATGTTATGTTCATCAATAAACCACTTTCCTTTATCCTCTAAAACACTTCACTTAAGGAAAACTTACTTGTAAACGAAAATCATTCGGAAGTTTCATAGTTGGAGGGGGGAGCTCATTTTTGCAGAAGCTAGCTGGATCTTAATCAGATTATCGAACTCAAGCCCTGAAGAGGAATTCTTTTCGGCTTTTGGGTAAATGCTCTAAGGAACGACCAACTTGCGAATTTTATTTAACATTTGTCCTGTATTAAATACTTTTAAGTTGTACGGTTACCCTCGCAGTATGTTTGGGAATGGTACGATCCTGAATTTGCTGTTAATGTTTGGAATCGTCAGGGCATATGTAGGAGGTTCTTTTCCTGCTCGTTTGCGTACGTATGTAGTGGACTGTGCAGAATACTACAACATAAGATCTTTTCAATAGAGTGGGGTCTAACTAGTGGTTTTAGAGTGCTTGTACACTGAGAGAAGACCTTGGGACTAACATGGCGTAACTTGACATGTGGAACTCCTCTTTAGACTTTCTCTTTCTCTGGGTCGATATCATTTAACATTTATTTGTGGTGTCTATCACTTTTTTGTTGTTGTTGTAAACTGAGAAATTTACTTGTCGCATTTGTTACAGTTTTGTTGGAGTATCCTCAACAGGCCCAAGGATGGAAAAGAGTTCCCTGGTTTTGGGATTCATATGGTCTTTCAGTTCCAAAAGGAAAATACGTGGAACTAAACCTTACCATACACAGCTTGCCACGTGTTTCGGAACCTTGTGTTCAGGGTTATTATCTTGAGATCCGTGATGGTATTAGTCAGTCAGCCAGTGTTCTTGGGGTGTTCTGTGGAAATCACAAAACCATTGTAGTGCGATCCAGTGGACGATACATGTGGTTAAGAGTTTTCCCTTCGTGGAAGTATCATTTTAGAGCATACTACAGGGCAAGATCCTTCAATGAAACAGGTGTGATGTTCTTTTGCAATTTTCTCTATAAGGCACACGGTTAAAAGCTTTAAATTCAACTGGAATGTCACGATATAGATCAAATTATATTCAGGAAATGTAACGATGGCCCAGCAGCATGTTGCAGTATTTATTAGATTATCAAGTATCTTTATGATTATGATTAAGTTCAGATGGAAAGCGCGCTCTCGTTGGTTGAAAAAACCTGCTCTCCCTGTGATTAAAACACGGAGCAGAGCAAAAGCTGTCTCGCCATCTGCCAATTTTTACTATATCTTGTTTTTAGTCTATTAATGAAAATGAAATTTCGGAATAAGCAAGCCGGCAAGTAACGATGGAAAAGCCAAAAAAAAAATTGTAAACATGCCAGGCGCCGTGATTTGCATTCCTATGACGTGAGCAAAGACGAAAACCCTTAAACAGAAAACGAAATGGACAGTCTCAGTTTTAAAGGTTTTCACACTCAGTTCGATCGTAAGCGGCTGATGTACGGTAATAAAAATCAAACACTGCTAACACCCATACTACATACATAGTTTCGTGTTAGAAAAATAAACCGGAATAAAACTGGAGTGATTCAAAACATAAACAGACTGGCAGACATGTTAAAATTGATGCAAATCATGTCGTTATCAGAGCGACTGCGATCATGCTGGGGTTGATCGCAGCTAGCTCATCACGGCAGTCTCTGATAATCGCAGTGCAGCAAGCCTCAGAGATTACATCGCCCGCCCTTCGAGTGAAATGAACTAATAGCCTGCTCTGATATCGTTTCTGCTGCTACATGTAAGGGTGGAAGGCCATATCAATCTCAGTAGCTGAGTTTTATGGCGCTGTCACCCAGAGCAATCTTCATGTTCCTGTAAATTCGGCTGCCGCTCACCCATAGACTTGCAAAACTATTTCAGGTTGTGAACTATTGCAGATTGTGAACTTTGATGGTTTGACATTTTGACAGCTTAAGAGCGAATTTTTGAGTTGACCGAGTGAAAATCGAAAAATATTGTACACGGTCGAAAATTAAAAAAAATTATATTTCTCGCAGAGACACCTTAAAGTGAACTTAGAAATTTAGACTTGCTTCTTTCTAGATTATTCACGAAACCTGAAACGGGCGTTGGTAGCCGTAAAATGGCGGAAATCAGTGCCTCGGATATAAGCAAATGAGCTTTGTTCATAATAAACGCAAATTAAAGAAAGCAAGCTCGTACCAGTTTGATATTTTTGTTTAGGAAGGATTGAGGTGTAACTCAAGTCTTAAACGGGACCATTTCATTTAATTTGGAGCTCATGGAACGCTTTTTAAAATAACCAATATTTCAATATTTCACCAATATATTCCGGCAGACTTTCAAAAATTGTTTTCCCTATGTGGTATGACTTGGAATCAATGCATGTTCGGCTCATAATAAGTGGAGATTGGTTTGTTTTACGAGATGTAAAATCAGTTTACTGCTTTTCATTTCCGTTCGGAAAAACCAGCCTGAACTTTGTGAAAATCGTAACATCGTTATTCACGTTACGACATACTCTCATTGGGTACCCCGTGGTTAAATCCAGAATTCTGAGCACATTTTAGCGGCTAGCACCGCGTTTGATTAGGAAATTAAAACGGTAGGCTAGCCTCGCATAGCTAACGACTACAGATTGGTTTTTATCAGCATGACTACCGTTTCTTTTCAATTTTAATTTTATTTCCGGTTTTACGGTACGTTCGTGTCACGTGACAATCTCGGGTGGGATTGCACATGCTTTGAGATTTTTTTGGGGAGAGTTTTATCTTCGCGTAGTTGTTTTGGTCTGCAAAACACTTCTTTAACGTGAGTTGTCAGCGTGATTGTATTGCGATCGTTATTGCGATTTTTCTTTCTTTTCTTTTATCTTGTAACGCTACACATGGATTAAAGGCGAAAGCTACATTCCGTACTTTCGTTTCTAATTCTCGTCCATTTCCCATTGCGCAATTGTTCACAACAACACTAACTTAAGCTAGCGGAGAACGTCTGTTTTTCTTTGCATGTAACCGAACTCACTTAAATTTGAAGAAATTTTTAGGGTTAAATTTATTTTAATTGTGGACTTAAAAGACGACAATTTATACTAATAGGTAGAATGTTCTTTGTCGAAGACGTTGAAGACGGGAATCAGTCTGATACTACTCCAGATTTAACATACTCAAGCGTTTGTCACGCAAGACAGAAACTATTTCAGTCGAAAAAACACCTTTTATTGTTTTCGGCCAAGAAAATAACACTCTTGATTAACTTGCTGATTAGATGGTATAGAACATGTGTTTTGGAAGAGTGTTTCAAACGATACATCGGCGTTATATTCTGTGGTATTATTTTAACATCGGTGATAAATCGTTCAGCTCCTCGCGAATCACCGTTTCTGTGAGTGATATATCGCTTGAGCTCAGCGATATATCGTCCCACGTAAGGTAATCCGGGATCCGGAATCCAGGTAAATTTGGTCTCTGGAATCCGGAATCCATGGCTTTGGAATCCAGAATCCAGCGAATGGAATCCGGAATCCAACCATCATTGTAATCCACAATCCAGGTTTCTGTAATCCAGTCTGTTATGATGGTTCCAGGGCCTCTTATCGGTCTTTATCGGACACCCTTTCGACCGGGCTTTTCGACTTTTTTTGCCGTTGCCCTTTTGTAGTCGGAGGTTTAGATTCTTTTCCTGCTTGGGTGCAATTGGAACTAATTGTTGGATTTTAGGTAACTTCAAAGAATAATAACATAAAGTATCCTTATTCTTGGACGTAGTGTCAATATAATTTGAATATATCAACAAAGTCATTTGAAATGGTAAATTGGCCACCGTAACGATTACGGAAGCTGACGTTTAGAGCGTTAGCCCCTCGTCGGAGCGAACAGTAGTGTCAGTAGTCGAGGTGGTTGCAGTTACTGGCTTCTTTCATGTAAATGTCATTAGTATCACTCAAAGAATTACATGTTGCCTTTGGTGTCGACGTGATCTCTTTTTCATTCAGTCCAGAATAAATCAGTCAAAATGAGACATCTCGAGAGATCACATGGGATATTTTCTTAATCGATCGTTATCAATCTTTGCCAGCATAGAGAAGCGCAAGCCGAAAGCATGAGCCGGAAAGGTACGTAGTCTATAAATTCTGTGTTTGTGACTTTGTGATGGTTGGAAATGTTTTGGCGGCGTGGTTTTGAATAGATCATCGCGTGTGAAACAGAAATAACTTCGAGCAGCTATTATCTGTCTGTTTCCATCGTGATCAGAATCATGAGCTAACTATCTTACAAATTGAAGTATAGGAGTCCAAGAAAGAAAGAGAGAAAAAAGGAGAAAGAAAAGAAAAGTTCAAGGTCTGTGGAGTTGTTGTTGTTTGTTCTGTTGGTGTTCTATGATCAACAAGCGGTGGTTGTGCGAACACTTATTACTGAAGCGTTTCTGTGATCAAAATTGTATTCGAAGGTGACGGCGTTTCCATACCTATCACATAAATTATAATTAAATCGAGCAGTTCATCAATGAAACGAACATACTGCCTAACTGTCTAAGGTTCGAGGTTCGAGGGATTCATGTCGAGCGCGAAGGTAAAATTGTCGAGGGTCGGGGTACCTCTTTTTTTTATTGATAAAGAAAAATTAACTTTGGGCGTGGAATGCTATTTCAAAGGGATGCGAGCAGACCACGACATGCCTACAGTGGCTAACTACGCTTACAGAAGAGCGTGCTGCGTGGATAACGATATGCTGCGCATTTATCAGAAGGATTTCTTATACTTCACTGGGCCCGATTCATGTTATCCAGAGAAAATTATCAAAGGCGAACCCCCAAATATCAAGAGGCGACCAAACAAGCAGTCAGCAATCACTGAAGGAATAGGTAGCAAAGAGGAAGACTCAAGGTGAGAGACTGTGATGCGAGAATCTGCTGGGGAGTATGAAAGAGGCGTAAGACAGGAAAATATCCGCTCAAAAACGAGAGAGCTAACTGGCACCCTTCGTTATGCACCTAGTATGTGTCCCACTACCATCACAGCCTCGTTAGAGGAAAGCGAACACGTAACAACAGCCTGCCGAGTCGTGGATGATAATGTGGCACTGCGGAGTACGGCTGTACAGGTGCAAACCATTTACCAGGAAGACAACATATTGGTAGTAAGACACAACAGTGAAGAAAGATCTCACCTTTCTGGCTAGCAGTTCTTCTGGAGGATGTACATATAGAAGTGAATGGTGGAAATTTTGTGCAGCAAATAGTATTCCTAAAGTGGCTAAACCAGACAAGTGATTGACTAACATACACCTCTAGTGATGTCTGTAATGGGAATTCCCCAAGTGCATTCTAACCCAAGTACTCGACTTTTCTTCCGATGGATCAGACATCATTTTAACAACAGAGAAGGATTAACAGGCTGTAGAATTGCTAATGGAGACTATGGTGATGTTGATGACAATGAGAATGAAACTGCAGGATGAAGGGAGAAGTATCCCTCCCGATAAGACTGCCGGGAGTTAGTTTATCAGGACGGAGAACGACACGGTTTATTCCAAGATAAATGTTTTCTGTTGCGTGCGTAGCTGGTATTATAGTAATTGGACTATCTTCACGCTATTTGTTGCTAAGCTGTAACTGAAGTGTAACATTTCTGTGTGGCAATTAAACAATTCGGAGACGAATTATGTTTGAACATGAAAAGCACTGATTTTGGCAATGTGTACCGTGCCTCTTTTTTCTTGTTGACGCTGTTGTTATTATTAAAATTAGAATAGCCCTTCCATATTAGTATTTCCACAACGATGTTGACTCAACTGACTTCGGAAACCGCTCATATATTCACAATCCTTTCGGGTTAGGAAAATATTTATATTTTCTATTTATATTTTATATAAGACAATGTACACTTCCCGTAAAAAAAGAAAAAGCTTTTTTTGTGAAAACCAAGTACAAAGGGAAAGTAGTATTTTGAAATCTGGAATCCAGCCACTTATGGAATCCGAAATCCACAAATGTGGAATCCGGAATCCACAGACAGGAAATCCGGAATCCACAGTGTGGAATCCGGAATCCAAGACTCTCTTGGATTACCTTACATGGGGCAAGATATATCTCTCCAGTTCAGCGATATATCGTTTTCGCCTCCCTGATACATCGTTTACATTCAACGAGATGCTGCCGCCTAACGATATCTCGTTTACACTGGGCGATATATCATTTGCGGTCGGCGAGAAATCACCACCGCTACGCGCTAGATCGGCGAGGCGACATTGGACTGCTCGGCGAATTCTCCATCAGACTGATACTGTATTTGTAGTAAGCATAGTGTGTGATTCTATCCAAATGTCTGTCTCTTAAGTATAAAATCAAATTTTGTGACGACAGAGTAGTCAGCAGGTCATTAGCACATGAGTGAAAAGTCAAGGTTCGAAGTTAAATGTAAAATGAGAAGTCCACGCTTCCGCGTTCTCATTGCTGTCAACTAATAGGAGAAGCCGTCACAGGTCGTTTCCGACTAACGCTTCAATTCGATCGACTGCCGACCGTGTTTGAAAAACTTTGAAATCCATTGTAAAACTGTACGAGGACCTCCCCCCAACTCCTTGAAAACCCCTATGATAACTATTTTTGATGGAAAATTAGTAGACTCAGTTGTGAGTGAATGAAGACTCTGTGGCACAATTTTTTTCGGTGACTAAAGATGACATCGTTAGACGGAGGGATAACGAAACTATTGCGCTAGAATAAAAAAATTATGCGCCGATTAATTGAATGGAATAGCATCGACACGGCCTTCCCCCGGGAATTTAACTTTTGAAGATTGGTTCCCGCCCCACTTGGACAAAATCACGTTCAACTGCCCTTCCCAAGTTCCAGTTTTTGTGGGTCTCGATGAGGTTAACTGTTGGCCGTAAATCGGCAAAAAAAATCAGCCGTTAGGTATAAAAATTGACATATTTTAACTGCAAGTCATAAAAAGAGAAGCTAACCGTAAAAAAATTAAGCATTAGCATAATAAAATTGCCAACATTTTAACCCTTAGCTTATTATGTCTCGTGTTTCTCCCTACACTTCTTTCGTGCTCTAGCCTTTTCCTGCGTACTCTAAAACAGAACATAGCACAGTCAGGGGTTTTCTATTTGTTAAATCAAAATAGACAGACTAACAGCCATAGATAGACATGGAGAAATAGACAGAGGAAGAGAACGATAAAAGTTCTTCGTGACTGCCGTCAAAAAAATTAAAAAAAAAATTAAAAAAAAAATTATGAATTGTTCTCAAATTGCAATGACATTTTCAAAATTGTACGCACGATGTTTTGAATTTACGTATCATGCCTACAGTTTGCTCATTCTGTACGGTACAGATTAATCTAACAGTTACTTTCCCTAAAAGAATTTTTTTTATCAATTACTTTATGCAGTCACACCAACCATGAAAGAAGTACTCAAGACACAGGCTGTATTTTTGAACAGAACTTCCACCTTGTGGTGCCCGGTGGAAGGTGCGCCGGCTCCATACGTTGTATGGAAGAAAAATGGTGTTGTTGTACAAAATAGTACCAGTGTAAGATATCAGTTTCTTGTAGCTGCAGAAAATAATGCGAATTACAGCTGCGAGATACGAAGAAATGAAAAGATATCAAGGAGAGAAATCAGCCTCACCATTGAAAGTAAGCATTTTGCTTACATCAGTATGATATAAACTATTGATTGTATTACCTTAACCTAGCATCGTGTTAAATTTCTAATTATCTCTCCTCCCCGGGTCGTTGCCCGTGATGTAGTCGCTCTCGGCCTCAAGCTGCCCTGGTCCTCCAGACTACGATAAATCAGGAACTTGTAAATGATATTATGTTAATTAGTTATTCGATAGGACCATACTTTCTTTGATTAAATCTGTTCTTGGTTGCCCCTTAGTTTATTATGGCATTATATTGCCAACTGGCCTGCCTCCCTTCAGTTGGGTTCAGATGTTTAATTTAAAGGCACTGATTTTATCGCATCCACATCTCACGAGCTAGAGCCTGAGATCTGTTTATCATAGTTATTCGATGTTCTTTTGCCTCTTAAGAACCTCTCTGTATTGCCGTATACTTTGAGGAGAATGCTGTTTTGAATTCTGTCTACCCTAAAGGTTAACTGATTTAAGAGGTTGTTTTCTCGAACGAGGAGAAAAGGGAAACCGAGTAAAGACAAAGAAAATTCCCTTAGTTATACGCCTATCTGTTTTTCCCATATGATTAATCCGTACCTATATGATTAACCCATACCTATTATGAAGCGAATACTTCACGTTAAAGGGATTTCGATATCTTCTTCTCTCGTTCTTCTCCATCATGAACCATCGACTGTTTTGGTTGTTTAATTTTTAGGCTAGCATTTTCGTAGTGTTTGTCTTTCTTTGTAGACTATCTCCCTTTTGTCTAAGAGCAAGTTTTCCTCGATTTTAAATTAATTTCTTTTACCATTGCAATGCAAACTCTGTGATTATGCTAATCGCGCCTTCTTAAGCCATCAACTTTGTTGAACGGTCCTTTATGTCTAAAATCCAGAGTGCCCAGGTCCTTGTGAGTGCAATATTTTAAAGGGAATGAACAACAATCTGCTGCGGGTGAACTGTAAAGGGAAAGAATTGATGTCCCTTCCATGGAAAACTCCCCTCGCCACAGCAAACTTGTGAGTATAAATGAGAGATATCGAATGTTTAGGTGCCTTGTTAGTTGTAGAGTAAAGTGTAGATTATGGTGCAAGTGAGTGTCATTCTTCATTTAACTGAGTTGTAACTATTTCTAGATCCAGGGCCGTAGCTAGCATGAGGCGAGACGAGGTAATTGCCTCGTCTTAATTTTGGCCTATTTTAATTTTTTTCTTAAAGATTGACTTTTCTGAAGAAAAATGCCAAGGAAAATCCTTAAAAGAGCATTTCTAAACCTCTATATTTCAAAGTTTTCTGGGGGGCATGCCCCCCAGACCCCTCTATCGGCTCGCGCCTTCGGCGCTCGAAACTTTCTCTGTCTTGTCCTGAAGCCTGGCTGCAACCCTGAGATCAGTTTAAATATATCTGTTTCACATAATTTTAACTGCATCGTAATAGGGACTGATAATGAATTGTTCAATGGATAAAAAAAAAAGAGTATATTGTCATCAGTTTTGAAAACTGTACTTATTAAACACAGTTGTAATAATCTCTTAAGATGGACTTGAGTGACAATCAGCTAAACGACTTGTCACAAGACATTTTCAGGAATAATACTCACCTCGGTTGGCTGCGAGCTAAGAATAAACAGATCTATATTGTGTATACTGTTAAGTGCAATGATATTGTAACAGATAATGGCAATGATATCTTGAATAACAAATAACAGTAAAAGTAATCAGCTTTGAAAACCATGATTTCGTAACAAAGACTTGAGTAACAACCAGCTGAACTACTTGCAACCAGATGTTTGAAGGAATAATACTCAGCTGTGGCAGCTGTAAGCTGATTTTAAACAAATCTTATGTTCTGTATACTTTACTAGGCGCAACGATGTGGTAACAGGGCGGACTAACAATGATATGCTGAATAATAAATAAATAACATATCAGTTCATTAGCTTTGAAAACCGTGCTTATTCAACACAGCTGTAATGCATTATGCACGATCCTCGCAGTAGATAGCGCTATTTAGGCAATAGCGAAAATTAGACTTGAAAAAAATCAGGCCTGTACGGGATTCGAACCACTGACCTGATTTATCACTTTCACGGGTTTATTACGAATCAACTTAACGGCCTGCTCTCAGTTGGCTTGTTAGCTCAATTGGTAGAGCGCTGCACTAGTATCGCAGAGGTCAGTGGTTCGAATCCCGTACAGGCCTGATTTTTTTCAGCCCTGATTTTCGCTATTGCCTAAATAGCGCTGTCTACTGCGAGGATCGTACATCATACGTATCTAATACCGCAGTTCAAAATATATGAACTTCATATATTTCATTGTAACAGTTGTAATGATTTATTATTAGGGACTTGAGTAACAATCACTTGAACGACTTGTCATCAGACATTTTCAGGAACAATATTCACCTGCAATGGCTGTAAGCTGAGATTAATTTCCATATCTCATCGATTGTGAACAGCTTCGCATTACAACATATGCCTATTGAACACATATGTGGCAAAATCTGAATTAGGACTTGAGTGACAACCAACTAAAGGACTTTCCGTTGGAAAAATCCAGGAGAAGTAATCAATTGGGATTGTTCTAAGACGCTTTTCTTTAATCCATTGATTCTTAAAAGCATACTTCATCAGCATTATAACCCGTACGTGTTAAACACGGTTGCAACATTTCTTGAGGCGGTGTTGAGTACACTATCAGCTGTACAAGTTTCCTATAGAGATATTTCAGCTCAATAAACTGGAGGTTGGGGTTTAAACAAATCAATTTTCTTTTTCAAGAATTACACACGCTGAGATTATTTATTTCTGAAAGTTATCATTTCCAAACTAATCTTTAACCAGGAGTCTAACCTCAAGAAGGCACCAAGTTAAGTAGTTGTGGGTGTCAAAGAAGAGCCCACCTGTAGCCATACCCTCCCTCCCCCTCCTACGAAAACCTGACACAAATCGTGTTCCGTGATGTCACTCTTTTGAAAGAAAGTGTATAATGATTCCTTTGTTATTGGTTAACCTGATCGTTCAGTACTTTCGTAAATTCTAATTGACTAGAGTTGGTAGTTTTCTTTCATACTGACGAATGATATTGTAAAGAGAAAGCCTTCGTGATCAACTTTACTGACAATAGCGATCGACCACGAGGTTTTTAAGAAAATTTTGTGCGACTTGCGGGAAAGAGAACTTTCAAGAAGAAAGCAGAAAGCCATATATATTTTTTTCGAAGGTAACGATGTCTCCGTTTTGTTACCATCTAGCTATGGAAAATCTTCAATATATCAGGCCGCGCCAGTAACCGATCGCCTCTCCTTTCTGGAAGAATCGATTCACCCTATTTCTTGCGCCTTTCGTTAAAGCTCTCATGGAAGACCAGTTGTACTATCTCAATAGACCTGGGTCAAGAGAATTATTCGCCCTCGACTGTCGGTCTCTTTGCGAACAGCAATGCAAACCTAATAAAGCTAATTGTTACTTGCAGCGATCCTTTAGACTGAAACACGAGTCGCTCTTTCTTAACACTTGCTCTTAAAGAGATTCCGCGGCAAATGATCCAGCGTTTTCAACAACCGTGACTCTGAACATAAATGTAAGCAGAGACTGCGTGAACTTTGAGATCTTTTTTCATAAGCGCGAAGCCAATCGAACATTGTTCTTTTCGTACTCTATACCAAAATCACTCATAATCATTTTCTATTTCCTTAAAGCAAAGTATGGATTTGAACGCAGGCACTGAATAGCAAATTCACCCGAAAAAAATGGAAAATGACTTCACTTCAGTGTTGTTGATTTCCTGGATTACCTTTCACTCTAGCACGTGCCACTTCGCAAAAAATGTTATCAAATTACTACTCACTAATTTATGCGAAAATATGTAGTACATAATTTTGTATAGATTAGAGCATAGTTAGTAGAGGGGACTGGTTAGGAAGGTCGGTGAACTTCAAAAGAGGAGGTTATTGTTCGATTTTTTAGAAATCACGTGACCAATACCGTGCACAGCACAGGATTCAACTGAGATGTGGCGCCGGTTGTCACTTGAGTACGGTACGCTGTCTTGTGTTCTTTTCGGTGTTATTATGATAAAAAAAGAAAAAACAGTTGTAAATCGTAATAAAGCTACTCTAGATTAAGTTTAAAATGCCTGGCGATAATTGTTCCGTGGTTGGCTGTGGATCGTGCAGGCGATCGAAAGGTATAGGCATTTGGAAACTTCCCGCTCCGAGGAACGAAGTATACAAAAAGTGGAGAGCAGACTGGCTGAATGAACTCACAAAATCAAGAGAAGTAGACAAAGATTTCCAGAAACAAATTGACAGCGATAGAGTCTTTACATGCGAGAAGCATTTCGCTCTTGATGATATAGAAATTGGTAAGTATTCAGACTAAAGCTTGTGTGTGTATGGTGCTTACCAGTATGGAATGTAGGATTTTTGTGCGCGGCACAGCACAACCGAAGGTGTATGTGTAGTTAGTAGTTAGTAGAGGGGATTATAAACATCAGATGTGTGTTTATAACTTGGAACTGACGATGTTTACTTTTGTGTTCCGTGATGGCAACACATGTCTTGTACTAACCAAAGCTCTTCCGCCTTTCTTACTGATAGATAAATTATTTAACTTTGCTTTTAGTCGTGTCTTCAAAGATGACCAAGAAAAGACCGAAGTTTGGTTCTCTACCGACTCTAAATATGCCCCAAAAAAGCCACCAAAAGGAAAAGCTAGCGCCACGAAGACTGCTATCGATCGTGAAGGACTTGCCTGAAACCAAAAGAAAGAATGCTTGTTATAGTAACTTTGTAGAACTTTGCAAACGAGTTCATCCTTTGAAAACCCTCAGTGACTGGTCAGTTCAAGAGTTAAATGACAGAATATTGCTGAGAAAGATAAAAAACACCTTTTTGTTGCCAGAAGTTGAAATCATGATAGATGACAGTTTGGGATACACAATTTCAATTTTTGGATGGCTCATACCTGAAGACCATGAACTGTATTCTAGATATTTAAGATCAGTCAGTAATATCACAGTTTCTGACCTTGTGAAAGATGTTGAAAGCCACTCCATATGTCCTGGAGTAATTCCACATGAACTATCCAATGCTGTAATACCCCACATCATCCCGAAATCTGTCGATCCACTATTCGACGATAGTTCATTTCCACACCAGCAGTATTGGAGAATGAGAGGATGTGAAATTTTAACAGAGGATGAGGGCCAGCAGTGTGCTGGTTGCTATGGATATTCACATGAGTCTCGGCTAAAAGAAAGGGCCAAGCAGAACAAACTAGCTAAGCCAGCGCATCTCAATACCCCAGTCTCTAAGACATCTCCAGAACGATTAAAACTGACTTTGCAGATGCAAAGATTGAAATGTGCAACCCTTGAAAAGAAACTTCAAGAAATGAAACTTGAAATCGAGAAATCAAGTGTTGAGATTGATCATGAACTCAGTAAAGACATGACTGATATACTTGGTCAGGCAGAGATCACACCATTCATGAGCCTATTTTGGCAACAACAAAAGAAACTCCACAACAGCACATCAACTGGTGTCAGATATCACCCAATGATAATTCGTTATTGTTTGTCATTGGCAGCCAAATCACCATCTTGCTACGAGGAAATAAGAAAAAGTGGGATACTAGTACTGCCAAGCCAAAGAACACTGCGGGATTATAGAAACTTTATTAGACCCAAAAGGGGCTTTCATGAGAATGTGATTGAAGAACTGAAAGCATTAACAGACAAGTACTTTGATGTGCAACGATATGTTGTCTTGCTATTTGACGAAATGAAAATCATGTCAAATCTTGTTTTTGATAAGGTCACAGGCGAATTGATTGGATATGTGGATCTTGGTGACCCTGATGTCAACTTTGGAGCTCTGGAAAAACTTGATGAGGTTGCAACTCATGCTCTTGCTTTCCTCATCAGAGGTGTTTGTACAGAGTTGAAGTTCTGCTTGGCCCACTTTTCTACCAATGGAGCTACTTCTGCCCAGATAATGCCATTGTTCTGGGAGGCTGTTGCTATTTTGGAGTTAACCTGTAACCTCTGGGTTATTGCTTCTACTTCAGATGGAGCCACACCAAATAGAAGATTCTACCGAATGCATAAGAGTCTTGATGGAAATGCTGACAAGGATGTGTGCTATCGCACAATCAATTTGTTTGCACCACAGAGGTTTATATACTTCTTCTCAGATGCCCCTCATCTTGTAAAGACCACAAGAAACTGTCTGTATCATTCTGGATCTGGTACTTGTACCAGGTATGAGTTTACAAAACAATTTCAAGATAAAAAGCAAAAGGAATTTTACTGTGCAGGTGGAGAGCTGTTGGCCTTTGCTGTCCCAGTAACAATAGGGGCAGCAGTTACGTCCAACAGCCAATAGAATGGTTATGATCAGGGCCCAGTTGTTCAAAGGCCGATTAGCTCTAACCCAGGGTTAAATTTTAATCCAGGTTTCTAAATTTCTCTAATCAAAAGCCATTTTGGGATAATTTAAATTGCCAAATGGGCAATCTTATATCCGTAACTGTTATTGGGACAGCAAAGGACAGCAGCTGTCCATCTACACACAAGAAATCCCATCTGCTTATTATCTTGCATTTATATATGTTTTACATTTTGCTGTTAATAACTCCTTATATGATATTGTAAGTTGGCAATGATTTGCTGCATACATATTAATGTTGACTGATTATTGTTTCCAGGTATATGTGGAATGATGGTCACTACTTATTATGGCAGCACATCACCCAAATCTTTTATCAAGATGCAGAGAATGGCTTGAAGTTGCTTCCTAGAATTACATATGAACATGTTAAGCTGAATTCGTACTCCAGCNGCTTACCAGCCAGCGCTGGTTAGCAGGTACAATTATCTCTCGAACCAACTTAAGTCTTGACTCGATCAACATTGAAACGAGACGGACATCCTTAAAGTTTCAGAGTGACCTAGCCTCATTTCATGAAAAATGATTTACCACGCATGAAAGAGATTTAAAATAGATACAAAACGCCCTAAATTACAGTGGCCCTAATAATAACAAATAATGATGATGATATGTAATAAATCGACATTGAGACTAATAATAATAATAATAATTTAATATTTATATTGTGCTAATTAACATGTGGATATTATCAAATGCGCATCACAACACTTTTCGGGGGACTTTCGCCGGACTGCATGAGCAGTTTACAAACAATCAAAGGAAAGATGCCCCGTCCCCCACAATTCTCTGTAAACACTGAGGCCAGACCACATCACAGTAATCTCGTGAGTGAGTTCTTTAACGTCTCCTGCCTAACCAAATAAACTAATTAATAGATGCAATAATCTAACCTTATTGTTAGAATTTCCTACGTCGTAGCGTAGGGAAAATAAAAACACTCGATAATTAGGCCACTGTTTGGTTGTTTTTTTGAATAGAGGGATATCCGCAAGAGGAGTTTTCTGTCGGGTTCGCTCAACACCATCGGGAGAAAGCGTGATTTTCGAAAAGACGTGTTATGTGTGAGACTCTCGAAATTGACGCGAGCAATTTTGAATTTGAATGCTTTTAAGCAGTTGAAAAAAAAAAAGACATTGTTTGGCTAGCGCTACCAGAACGCCAAAGTTTTTTTTTTTTTTAATTTCAAGTTGTGATATAAAAGTCGCAAAGGAAGTTTCTTAAGTGGCAACGGTAGCTCGAACGAGCTTGTGTTTAAATGAGATGGAAAAGTGCTGAGACTCCCAAAAGTCGCCAGAGGAGTTTCAAGCTTGGCTCGAGATTAATTTACGTTAACAAGCCTGCGCGACTTCAAAAACAAACAAACAATCAAACAAACAAAACAAACCCCTTGAGGGTAGCAGAGGAGGGAGTCTGATCCTGTTTCACTCACGAATTTTAATAACATTCACACGCCACATTTTATTTGCGGCTTCTTTTAACCATGCTTTTTTTTCTTTGCATAGGTTTACGCTACACGTATGTCTTTTAGTCACTCACTTTTTACGAGTCACACAATAATTTTTGCCCTCGTCACGTGTCCTTTGCCGCCGTATGCCTTATCTGTACAATTATAAAGCAGTGAGCTTGTGACCCCTGACTTAATTGATTAAATTATTTCTAATAAAATGTCTGATTGAAGGAGGAAGCGAAGACTACACCCAGACAGCTAGCATGAAAAAATTGTCCACATAGTTCACAACCCAACCAGTCCTCATTATCGTCCTCTTCGTATATTTTACAAACTGCGGTGTTACAGCGACTGAAAGAAAAAAAAAACATTAACACACAATATTACATAAAAAACCACCTCTGGCCACGAAACAAATCGACAAAAACTTAATGAGATAAATGCCTTCTTTGCAAAGCAGTGCAGTAGTTACTTTGCTATAGGAACGAAATTGAATTTAAGGAAAGATACCTATCAAGAAGATCATTTATACTTTCGGCGTCACCACTGTGTGTTGCAAAACAGTAACCGTCAGAAAAGCGAACAGCGTCAAAATTTTCACGGAAGAATGTGATTTCTTTCTCCAATATGCTGTCCTTGATCCTTGGTGACCGAGGGAGCCATGCCTTTGGATCGACCTCGCATGCCACGTGAGACGATTTTCCCGCCAACTGGTGAAAATATGACATACTTAAAGACCGGAATCGGAAGTTACGTTTCACTTTCTAGTATCTTTATGCTTAGTACCGCTGACTCCTTTATTTTTTGTTGTGGACTCACCCTCTTTCTACGCCCGTTGAAAATTGTCTCCCAACAAAAAACAGACCCCATATTTGAAAGGCTATGTGGCCTGTCCTTTCAGGGGATTTCCGCTGTACCAGAGCTCTCAAGAAATCTTTCACAATCATGCTAATTTTGACTCTGATGTTATTTTCCAACTTTGTGATTCGATTGCGTTGTTTGTTTCCTGTGGCTCAATAAAGCCTTTCAAAGCATTTGTTTCACAAACCCACATTTTGTAGAAGCAAATATCGCGAGAAAATGTCTGATAAACCCCATTAGAGGTATTTTTTAAATACATAGACTAAGAAATTTCCCCTAAAACATGCGTTGTATTCGTTCACAGAAATATATCATCAAAGAAAAATTTGTAAGGGAAGTTGTTGAGGAATCATTCTAGGGTCAAATTTACCGTAAGACTCTTTCCCTTTTCCTTGAATAGTCTCGTTTTCAAGTCAAGAATATTCTCTGTAGTTCAGTAATCAAGGCTGTGTTTCACCCTCTTCTTTTGTTTATTCCTCTTTGCACCAAAAACACTTTTGTGACTCCTATAGTGACAATTCAGTTTAAATGAGCCAGTCATTTAAACTTACAGTCCAACAACTGTGAATGATCATTTAAAAATGTGTCATTTTCTTTAATTTCTCTCCAAGCGTCTATGAAACATTATCACTGTGTACGCGAAATTTACAACTTTGTTGATCTGAAAAAAAAAAATGTTCAATACTTTGGAGGGGGTACAAATCCCATGTACTAGTCCTTACTAAATCCAGACCCCACATTCTAGTATCTCTGAATCACGTTTCCTTAGCTCAATGTAGTAACAAAATACCAACACCTCAGCTCTTTTCTCTGCACATTATAACAAAATACAGGACGGTGTTAGATAACTAACCAACTCCCACGGATTCTTTAAGGCCTTTATAGGAACATCCGGTTCCTTGTAACCTTACTTGAATTTGACTATTTACTGCTGTTTATATTTCTGTTAAACTGGATTGAGTGATGCGCTTGAATTAGTGTGCAGTGGGGGGGTTTAGTGTGTTGTTTTAGTTTGCTTTTTCCAAGTCTTTTAGTTGAAAATTGTTTTTAAATTCTGATAGAAATATTTAGTGGATAAAAAAGGTTTACAACATTAAACAGATAGGAGCTTTATTCTTTTTAGAAATTTGAGGTTATAACCTCGGATATAGATAGATAGAAAGAAAGTAATATGGAAAGAATGGTTCAAAATAAGTATAGGATACGAAACTCGCATCGTTCAAAACAAACTTTGCATTGTGAGCGACTTTGGCAGAGGTTTTTTTGCGATCAAATTAAAGTTAATATATGTACGTGCGAAATATGAAAATATCGAAAACCCATAAACTTCGCCAGAGTATAGGTCTGGATGAACTATTTTTAGACAAAATACTTTGAGTTCCATTGCATTTTTATTTTACGCGAACGGCACGAAAGTCGGGTTGGTGGCTCTCCTCTCAGCTTCACTAGGTCTAGACAACCCATTGTTTAAGCGTCGTTTAAAAATAAACAAAACGGTAAATGTGACCAACGATGTTTTCAATGAAAAGGACACGTATTTACGAACAGTCTGAAGTACTATTTGTCTGATTCTGTCGCGAACTAAATTTTTGGGTAATCTGTATTTTTCTTTTTCGTTATTCCACTCATTTAGGCGGACAAAAACAAATAGAAAAATTGAGAAGGTAAAATCGCACCTTAATACATGGCATGGGGCTATATCAAGTTAATCCAGCGAAAGAACAAGGCCTCTTCTTCACAAACTCCAATAAAATTTTAGGACCCCAAACAAGTGACATAGAGGTCAAAATACGCAATTCATTGTCACGCAATTAGAGGTGAGTTGAGAAGACTTCAGGCTGTTTTGGGGGCGAAAAATCGTTTCTACTCTGGATGGAGAGCTAGTTTAGGTCACCTTCTGTCGTTTTTTCTGTTCGGGTTATGCGGAACCACAAATCCTGGGCCACAATTCCAATAGCACGCGTCTTTACCACAAACACTGACATTCTTCCCTTGTAATTCTTGCTCACTTTTACCAATTTTTAATTACTCGGGCGCGTTATTTATCTCGTCACGCTTGACGGACTAAGTAAAAGAGGGGGCCGCTTGTAGTGTAACAGGGTTATCGGTGATAAATCTTCGGTTCGGTTTACGGAATACGGCCCCCAAAATTTCGTATCTCGTTTCACTAGGTTAGTCATCTTTTTATCCTCTTTATTTTTTTGTTCAAACTGATCAGTTCAGTGAGGGATCCAGTCTTTCCCGACAGTTACTTTTCTTCTGGAGAATTCTAAGACATCATTTTGTTTGACAAAAAGCAATCTCCTCTTCAAGAAAAGACAGAAGACATCGTTTAAGGAGAGGAGAAGTTGCATCCATTGACAAAAAACACGCCGATTTTTTCTTTTTTTTTGAGTTGAAGGATGCGTGAGTACTTTTCAGCACCACTGCAACGTGTAGCGGCGTATACAGCATGGCAAGTGCATATTTATAGAGCAAATTAAAGGCACTCGCTTCTCGACAAGGCAAAGATGTTTTACATTGAAAACCATCAGTAAGGATCTAGTGCACAGCCCTATATTGCCCATTCTGAGATTGCAAAGTAACGGTGTTCAGGCGTTATCGCAGAGCTGGGCATTGCGATCTTCGAGAAAGGCTGCCCGTTTTAGTGCTAAGCAGAAGGCCTTCCTAGAAGAGAAATTTAAAATAGGAGAACACACTGGATTCAAAGCAGATGCGGCAGAGGTGGCTCGAGATATGGGGCATGGAAATCATAAATATGGAGCCGCAGATCAGTCATTGTAGATGAATTCCTAACACCCAAGCAAATGATGGTCGGTTGCCTAGGGTATTCCTCCCTCAACTCTGATGCGCGCTGGTGCAGAAATCGTCAGCGGCAGTTGGCACGAAAAGGAAAAGGGAAAAGGAGTAAAAGCCTATTAAAAAATGGCGGCAGATGATGACAACGCGAGCACACCAAACAAACTATGTTTAAGGCACTTCGGCATGGAGGATGAAACAGAGAGAGGAGACCGGTTTTGGAATACCAGCTCCGTAGAGATGGAGTTTTCTGCGGAGAAACAATGGTTAAGGAGAGTTCGTTTTGCAGAAAATAAACCCAACTACGGGAGTAGACCTTGATCCAGTGTTAGAGGAACTCACAGGCAACAAGCTGGAGCTTGTGAGTCCCCTGGTGGATGGCTTCCTTAAGGAAATCGGGTTCTCTATTAATGCGAAGCTCGCTCGCTCTAAAATGACCGGTCTTATGGCGCCCATCATGCTATTTATGCCATTTCAAATCTTTAGGCATATCTGGGTTTTTAGTACAAGGCTTCGGGGGAAGCGTGGAAACAACCAAGAATGGTGAGAAAATCACGCTCAGTTGCCAAAGGCTCGACACGGCAGAGAAAATGTGGTCTCCTGCGAGATTTAAGAGAGAGAACTTTCTCGAGAAGCGGCACTTCGAGAAAATTCCTAAGGGTGGTCGCGCGCTTCAAAGCTACAGCGGTAAGTCAATTGTTGTTGTCACGCAAACTAAGCCGCTTTAAATGATTTACTCAGTAAAACATCAAAGGGTAACAACCACATTTCACGTGCAGCGCTATGATCGAGAAGGATTTGCAAGGGACTCAAATGTACAAAAGTTACTGAATTTGAACAGGATTTAGCTTAACAGTTACTTAGGTAACAGCAAGACTTGCTAATGTTTGGTAAGATCTTGTAACGAAACTTCATATAGCAAAAGAATGATAACCCTGAAAGTAATCTGAACTAAGTTCAAAAGAAAATATGTTTTTAATACAAAAATATATTTGAACTTTAATCTTGTGGACAGAAATACACTGGAGTAGATAAATAGAAGTATGGTTTTACCTAAACTTGTTTATTATATGACTAACCATGATGTCTGATTTATATATGAAATTATCCTATCAGTATAGAGAATTACTCCTTTTAAATACAAATTTCATTTATCTATGTGTACTTCATCCTGCTCTTAAAACTATCAAGCTGCAACCTTTTGTACCTTTTATTTAATACAAATCCATTCCTAAAACAAATTGTGTCAACATAATAAGCAAAATGTTGAGTCATTAGTTATCAACCCTTTGACCCCTAACAGTGACCAGCATCTAATTTCTTCTTAAAATATTAACCCCAAATTAAACATAAAGTCACAAGAATGAAGCAAATAATTACTAACTAAAGGAACTCTTGATTGTTAAAACAAATTCTCCTTGTCAGCACCTTGAAAAATGTATTGAGAACAGTATGGATAATATTCATACTGTTGTTAGCTTGTAAACGGTTTAGTGGTCAAACCTTTATGTACAAAATTCCATAAATATATTAGAGCAGAAACCCTGCCTCTAAAATACAAGTCAGTAAGAAAAAAAACAAAGGGTTTATAAAGTTTTCTCTGTAATTTATCAGTGCATACCAAATGATATCAGTAACAACAGTACTTTTGCATTCCGACAGGTTTAACCTGTCCAGCAAACATAGCTAATTTAAACAGTTTTGCACCAATTTTAAAATATTTTTCTTATTGAGTTGGCATATTACTCACATTACTGTTACACAGAATTTGTTGAGAGCTTAGTTATCATTCTCATAGCAAGTATGCCCTATTGTGCACCAACTTGACCAAGAAAAATATACTTCACATCAAATATTTTGGGAGTTTTAAAATGTTGATTAAAAAATGATTCAACTACCCTTCCCAAGCCAATGCACCTTCAAGGCGTTTAACCAGAATTTCCTTATTACCTGCAGTGCTTAATCCTCTACTATGTAAAGCTTCCTTTAAAACAGGTACTGTCACCAAAGTTGGATTGATAGCTACACTTCTTCCCTCTGTGGCATTGCAGAACTTTAGATGAGACCACAGTGAGAAGTTATCAGCAAAGCGAGTATTGCACTGTTTACAAACAATGGGTTTTAGTGCACACAACACTGATTCTGCCGCGCCTCTGCTGCTTGCACAGCATGTAAAGAATTTATTGGCTGAATCCTTGTGTGTTACAAGGCTCAATATTCCGTAAGGCTCTAAATCTCAAATTTGTTGTTTTTCTATAAAATGCTGTCTGTATTCACAACTACCGTCAAGGTTCTGATCTATAAAACTCTCAAGTGTCACTATATCCTATATCACAAAACCACACCCGGTGTGGTAACATCAGATAATCACTAACTTAATCAAATTAAATGAGTCTGTGTCCGGTTTCACGAGTGCTCATTTTTCTGGGCTATTCCCGTTGGGCTTATTTTTAGTTCAATGTAGGCATTTTTTTCACACACAAGTCACCAATGGGTTTTAGTGCACACAACACTGATTCTGTCGCGCCTCTGCTGCTTGCACAAGTCACCAGGTCAATACTAGACAAACAAACTTGACAACTGAGCAAATCATTTTCTCTATTTCCACCACAATTGCAAACATTTGGTTGGTAACAGTGTGGTGGAGAACGTCATTGGTAGTGTGAAGTATAAGAAGAGGGCATTGGTTGATGTTCCGGGAGGTAAAATGAGTGAACATAATTACCTTGCCTTACTTGCCCCCATTTACCAGTGTTGGTGCTTACATTTGACTGGTTAGTTAAGGTCAAATCTTCCCTCACTCCAGAATGTTTGGCCTCTTTAGCCTGCAAAGAGACAATGCCATAACCCACCCTATACCTTGTAAACAGCAAATTTGCATGATAGGGAATGGCATATCCAACTGTCCATGTTGCGACATTAACACAAATGTACCAAACTTGTGGGGTACACTCTAACTCAAGTACTCGAAAATTGTCCTTAACAAATCTTGTTTTATTCTCCTCCTTGTTTTCACAACGTCTCTCTTAATGTTTGCTCTCACACACAAAAACTAATTTTATCATCTCCGGCGTCTCCTGTTACAAACTTGTAATCTATCCTACACCTGCTTATGCAACTTTCGCATTGCATCATCTCTAAAAGCGTCTCCTGTGTGCTTATGCAACTTCCGTTCAACTGGATGAAAAAAGCAAAGACATCAAGTTAAAATACATACTACACATTTCTTTCAGTTCTGCAACCTGTGAAGAATTGGTCTCTATTCTATTAAAAAGTCCCCCCACATTCCTCCGATACACACCTATCTTGCTAAGAGCCATTTGTTGGATTGTTTATGCCTCTGTTTCATCTTCACTTTCTTAAGTGTCAACTAAACAATGGTAATATCAAGCCAATGCAATGGCTTGATTGCCAATAAGCCTAACTGGTAACTTGTTATACCTGTTAACTTCATCACTAAAATGTTCCTTTACTCTTGAAGCCAAGTAACCCTGTCCACACCCCGCCCCCCCTAACTTCTCTTCTGCAGGTATTGCTTTAGGTCCACCTCTGATTTCTGCAACATCCCCTGCTTCCTAGCACGCTCCCCAACACTGTCTGTACCAGAAACCCTAAAAAAAGTCTCTATTCCCTATAGGTGCTCCCAGAGCAGAAACAAAAGGATCAAACTCTTCTCTTCCCACTGCCTCTAAGTACAGGAGATCAATATAATGTTGCCAGCCATTGATCATACAATGCATGGGTTCTGGCCTTTACATGTCTGGGAAATGCCCAATCCTAGGAAGACGAAACTGTCGGATGCCATTTTCAGCCATGAACTGTAACTTTCTGGAATTTCAATTTTTTTTCTGAAAGGGTTGGGGGAAGAGAGGCAACAAAATTGTTGACTTTTTCAGTATTAGAGGTTCTCATTTCCTTAGTGTAAGGTTTCCAGGTGTCATCTTTACCCATTCCAAAACTACCCCCCATAGTGCTCATGTTTCCTTCATGAACATTTGCATTTGGGGAAGGATATGTAGCTGCCTGGTTGAGTTCAAAAGTCAGCCCAGCTCTGCCAGGACATGCCTGCTCCTGGCTGAAATTCAACAGTACACCCTTTATCACAAACAGTCAAAACATTACCTTCAAACATTTTCATCTCTTCAGTGAGCTGCTTCCAGAGGTCATGCATTATTTGATCTTTCTCTTTTACACTTACACCTGATCACCAAAGTTCCAGCACACTATACTTCCAATTGACATTGTCAGCTCATTTGTTTCAGGAGCTCCATCATCTGACAACTGAAAAATTAAATGGTTTTCATTTTCATTGAACCAGACAAGTTTACAAGAAAGATGGGGAACTCTCATGTGCAAATCAATAATCATAAACACCAGGCCAGTGACTGTGCAAGAAACAACTGATGCCCCTGGGATCTGTATGACATGACCAATGTCTAAAATTTTAACAAACTTGTCAACATTATCATCTGAGAAACTGAGCTTGGGTAACCTTAAGTCTACTCCAAGACATTTAATGTTATGTAGCAGCCACACTTCTTTTTCAGTATTAAAAAAGTTAACTTTGTGTTTTACAGACAAGATTTATATATTGAAGTGGCACAGACTGTTTCAGTACATCTTCTGAATATTGATAATCATTAATGGCTCTCTCAGAAATACCCTGAAGAAATTGGCCCCTCATAGACCACTTTCATAAATGGCTGGGAGATTA